GGCTTCTCACCTTACCAAGACATCTGGAGACCAGCCCTTGTTGTTCGGCCAGAGAGTAATTCGAGATGGGTATGTATATATGGCACCGGCTAAGTTATTGCCCCAAACTTGTCGTGGCCATAGAGGAGACGGATAGAGAGGGGAAGCGGAGTGGGACGAGAGGGGAAAGAGAGGGCTGGAAATGAGAGGGGGGAGTAGGCAACAAGGGAGTAGAGGGGAACGCTAAGACCTAGATGGTTTCATCAACTACGGACACTTGACTATAAGAGGTTTATGGTCGGTGGGGGGGGGAGGGGAATGGGAGAGGGAGATGGGAATGGGACAGAGATCAACTACAGTGCCCGTTAAAGCTCCCTCTCTCTGAAATTAAGAAATGTGTGTGTAAAATTGCTTTAAAACACAAATTTCTTATTCTGCATCTACTATATCCATGAACCGCCCCAAAAAATTTGGATCAATGCCTCGAATAAAAAAATTATCTGATCCTAACTAATTCGCTTATAATCACCAACAGCAGTAATTTCAAATACCCTAGTATAATTCCCAGAACACATGAATAAAAATAATGACAATAATACAAAATACTTCTAGACGACAACCCGTCACAATCCCGACTGTTTCAAACTGTTGCAGACCCGCATCCCTTCCAACTCATCTGAAAGACAAAAACATCCTTTTTCTGGCCTGATATAGCTAAAATAATTGAAAATCCCTACCTATCAAAAGTACAACTAGCTAAATCATTGAATAGCTTTTAGCTATCAAAGTGTCTCCTTCTGGAACACCTTAAACAAAAAAATTGCAATAAAATCATCAATTATTCAGTAGAGGAACACTCCCTCATAAGGTTTTAGTGTTCCACTCTACACATGTGCAACTTCTCTGCCACAGCGTGTACCCTACACATGTGGAACTTCTCTGCCACAGCGTGTACCCTACACATGTGGAACTTCTCTGCCACAGCGTGTACCCGGCTCCTAAAATCTAAAAAATAACAAAAGAAAAGGTTTATTAAAGAAAATTAATGTCCAACTAACATGTCTTTTATTCTAACAAAATCTACTGTTCATAAGAGTCTCTTAACTTTTAACATCCCAGAGTTCTTACTCATTTCCACTGCCAAAGAGTGTGAGCTCACTTTTCAGCCTTTAAACAACAAACCGCTGCTCAATAGACCGAAAAACAATTAAATTTCTAGGATCTAGGTAATCTAGATAAAGTTCCACGATTCACGTTTTTAAAGAACCTACTGGATTTTAAACAATCTAGTTTAATAATGATAAGCTTATCTAGAGACGGAGTGGTTTTCTAGAAACAATTTTCTAGATGTTCAATTTCTAAATTTATTTGTCTGGTTCCCACAATTATAATTCTAGTTTTCCACATTTATATACACTTCTAGGTTTCCACACTTAACAATGTTCCAGAGTCATGTTCCTCGGTATTAAGATGATCTTAGTTTACAAGATGGAATAGTAAAAGTTGAACTAACTTTGAGTCCTGCCAATAATTAACATTCAACTTCTCTATTAAACTTGTTCTAGAGATATGAATCGCTGACACGTAGTTGAACAGTAGATCCAACTACTACCTCTTGTTGTTTGAAGATCCTTGTCTTCTGGAACTCCATTTCCGGCCTCTGCCAAAGACACCTAGAGTACTGGGTCTTGCACTCTGGCGTGTCGCCAAGCGTTGAGTGACAGGTGACAACTGGCTGGCTGCCGACCCAGGTGAACCCCGCTAACAGGAACACGATTTCACTACACGACTCATAACTCACCAGAAGTGATGATGGACGATCAAGGCTACCACAGTAGAACAGAGCTTCGACGTACAACGATGGTGGTGTCTAGAGTCGGTTGTGAGCTTAGAGAGGCGTTGAAGTGGTTGGCGTGGTGACAGGACAGGTGAGTCCGACCTCAGCTCCTGGGCGATGCCATCTTCCGACGTTTACTTGTTATCCCAGTACTACTTGACCGGTACACATTCCGTGCATACCCTCGTGCAGCTGAACTTGGGCCGAGGTACAGGAGTGTACCCCATCTGGCGAGTCAGCGACACTCTATAGGAACAATGCTATTGATAACTGGGACCGCCTTATTGCTTCCTCGGTTTCCACACACGACAAACCACAGGTGTTAAGAGGGGGGCTGATGAGTCGCTGCACCTGGCGTACTTCCTCCACTTCCGGTTTTCCCGCAGTCTTGACGATGCAGCTGTGGGCTAGGTTGGTGACCTTGATATTGTCATTATATATATATATATATATATATATATATATATATATATATATATATATATATATATATATATATATATATATATATATGTCGTACCTAGTAGCCAGAACGCACTTCTCAGCCTACTATGCAAGGCCCGATTTGCCTAATAAGCCAAGTTTTCCTGAATTAATATATTTTCTCTAATTTTTTTCTTATGAAATGATAAAGCTACCCATTTCATTATGTATGAGGTCAATTTTTTTTATTGGAGTTAAAATTAACGTAGATATATGACCGAACCTAACCAACCTTACCTAACCTAACCTAACCTATCTTTATAGGTTAGGTTCGGCTAGGTAGCCGAAAAAGGTAGGTTAGGTTAGGTTAGGTAGGTTAGGTAGTCGAAAAACAATTAATTCATGAAAACTTGGCTTATTAGGCAAATCGGGCCTTGCATAGTAGGCTGAGAAGTGCGTTCTGGCTACTAGGTACGACATATATATATATATATATATTACTTGATATCGCCGTAGACCTTGCCTACGGTGATATTTCGTTGACTCTGGCCTCTGCTGCATAAAGACAGCATACTTGGCCCACACACATTCGTTAGTGACATGAGGTGTCGGCCGGGAGACTGCAGTTAGTCACCCTTTCCGGGTAACCAATTGACCAATTACCGGGTACCAGGGGGAGGGTTTTTATGTAACGTACATCAACCCCGATCTTATCCGAAAGGAAGGTCTTCCCAACATTCTGATCTCGATCCTTGGTTCACGTGTGACAGGGAGCCTGGAACAGTTGTACCATCAGACCTGAAAAAGACAAATAACAACACTGGCAGAAGCATGGATATTACTTTGGGTTTTAGGAGGTTGGAAAACTCCAGAGTAAGGCAAAGTATGCAACCTGAGTCATGCACAACAGTAAATCCACGCCATTGCCTCTACAGGAAATATATGAACTCTACTAATGCTGACTAAGGGAGCTAACTAATCTTTTACTGTACAGCTCGAGATCTTGTTACCACAGGGTGACAAGATTGAATTTGACTACTGATGAGAGTTGACAGAAGGTCATCCTCTGCATCTGACTCAACACTTGAATCATTGGCCAGCTCAGCTAGATCTGAAATTAGACTTGCTGAAGGCAGATCTAGTTACTCCCTAGCATGATATTGTTTTAACTTATCAATGTGGATAGTTCTCTCAACTTGGACTTCAAAAATACCTTTAATAATAAAATTAAATGAATCTAGGGAAGGGAGAGTTGGGGAATGGGTAAGATGCGGGCGAGTTGGGGGGGGTGCGGGAGGGGGAAGATAAGGGTGCAGTGTGTTGGGGAGGTAAGGGAGGGGAAAGGTAAGGGGTGAGGGAGATAAGAAAGAGGATGGGGGAGGGGATGGGAAATGGATTTTATGGAAGGAGTCAGGTGTGGAGGGTGCAGATATTTGGGGGAGGAGGAGCTGGAGGTAAGAGGGAGATAGGTGAAGGGGAGGGTTCCAGGAGGGGGGGAGCATGGAGGGATGGAAGGAGGGAGGGGGGGAGATAAGGTGTGTTATGACCTCTTGATAATTACCTGGGGTGTTTATTACACGGGTGTCATGAGGGTATGGTTAGTCTCATGTTTACTTTGATAAGGTAAGCTAAGGGAATGAGAGCTACTTGTTCTGGAATATTATGTTTGATGAACATTGAACTAAGGCGGAGAACAGAAGTTGGAGCTCGGTAATTGCTTTGATCTCTTTTCCTATGTACGAAATATAGTGGTTTTAAATCTCGAGGAAATTGATCGCATAATAGCGGAGTTGTTAGGACGAACTAAGGGGGGCGGGGGGGAGGTGAACCTCGGTAACTACCTTGATTTTATTTACTGAGTCAGAAAGCTAGCGGTTTAAGTCTCAGAGGATTTGGGAAGATATTAATAAAGATTCAAGAAGGTCCTAAGGTGGAGGACAGGAGCTGGAACTCAGTAACTAAAGTGTTGTATTTTACTACATCTGAAATACAGCGGTTTTAAATTTCGGGGGATTTGGATAAATACCAATGAAGTTGAAAGAAGGAATAAGGATGCGCACAAGAGCTAGAGCTCGGCAACTGCTTAATCTTATTTACTATGTTCAAAATACAGTGGTTTAAAATTTTAGGGAAATTGGACTGACAGTAGCAAAGTTGTACGAATGATCTAAGGCGGGGACAAGAGCCGGAGCTTGGTAACTTTATTTTGTTTTAATACGTCTTTAATATGACAAAAATGGGGCGAAAATTGGGCTACCAGTAGCGAAACTATACTTATTAATGTACAGAACCAAGTCCAAGAACTAACTTCTGGTAAACTTTTTAAAACCATCTGTAGTAGTAGTATTGTCTGTAGAGTTTGTTTTTTCTCCAAAACTTTAAGAATGCAGCGAAGACCTTTTTGGTCTGAATTTCCCCCATAAGAATTACTTAAGACCGCAGCTGAAACTGGGAATGCGTTAACAAACTCCTAATAAAGCTATTCTCTGAAAATGAACTCTGAAAAAAATTAGTCCGAAACTATGTGACTGAGTGAGGAATAAAACTCTGAAAAATTCGGTCTCAATCTGGAGTGACACGGCAGAAAGTTTCCCCCAAATAACGAAAACTTAGCGGTAAGCCTTCATTCCCACTACTGACCACAACCTCCACCTACCATCTAAACTTAGCGGTAAGCCTTCATTCCCACTACTGACCACAACCTCCACCTACCATCTCCACCAGTTCTGATAATTAGTTACATAAATACCATTACTTCCAGGCGGTTCTTCGATACAACATTCCTGAGGCCGAGGCAAGTGACGCCTTCGACATGACGGTGAACACCATCACAGTACCGGATAACAAGTGTATCACCAAACGCATCACTGTGTGCGCTTCCTATCGCCTCCCCGACGGCAAGTCTAACATGGCTGTTATTGATGTGGATCTTATCTCCGGTTACATCCCAGAGAAAGATGATCTGAAGAAACTTGTTAAGGATGAAGTCAATATAAAGCGATATGATGTGGATGGCAGCAAGGTTGCTTTCTACATTGAAGAATTATCTGCTAATGACACTTGTGTAAACTTCCGTGTGATAAGAAACATTGAGGTGGAGAATGTTAAGCCCGGCTCAGTACGTCTCTATGATTACTATCAGCCAGAGTTCCAAATTTCTAAGGTGAGTACACTGTCTTTCGTTTCGTTAAGAATTCCTAATGTTTGGCTCAAATTAGTCTTTCAAGTGATTCTTCTGCTAAATATTTATATAACATTTAAATGAAGAGATATGTAATGCATCACATTAAGACTTTTTGTTAAAGATCGTAAATTTGTAGAAAAAAAATATAATTTTTGGAATGTCTTGTAAATAATGCATAATGCTCCAAATAGTTTTTTTTAAATATAGTTTATAATAGCATTAAAGACAAGGAGGTGATATTGTTTTATTGCTCCTGAAATTATCATAAATCTTTCACATATATATATGCTTCATATATATATATATATATATATATATATATATATATATATATATATATATATATATATATATATATATATATATGTCGTACCTAGTAGCCAGAACGCACTTCTCAGCCTACTATGCAAGGCCTGATTTGCCTAACAAGCCAAGTTTTCATGAATTAATATATTTTCTCAATTTTTTTTCTTATGAAATGATAAAGCTACCCATTTCATTATGTATGAGGTAAATTTTTTTTTATTGGAGTTAAAATTAACGTAGATATATGACCGAACCTAACCAACCCTACCTAACCTAACCTATCTTTGTAGGTGGCCGAAAAAGTTAGGTTAGGTAGGTTTGGTAGTCGAAAAACAATTAATTCATGAAAACTTGGCTTATTAGGCAAATCGGGCCTTGCATAGTAGGCTGAGAAGTGCGTTCTGGCTACTAGGTACGACATATATATATATATATATATATATATATATATATATATATATATATATATATATATATATATATATATATATATATATATATATATCCACCCTGGCAACGACATACATCACCCTCTCTGCCGGCACGGCAGGAGCCGCAGCGACACACAGAGAAAAACAAAAGTCAGTCAAGTACAGGCAATTAGATCAAAGGTACAATTTCGTTCCAATAGGGTCTGAGACCCTAGGCCCATGGGGTGAGAGTGCAAGAAGGTTTCTTAAGGATCTTGGTTCCAAGCTCATTGACACCACAAGAGACCCTAGAGCAGCAAGTTTTCTCTTTCAGCGCCTCAGTGTCGCGATCCAGAGGGGAAATGCCCGCTGCATCCTCGGTTCCTGCCCGGCGTCGGAGGAGTTCGAGGAAATCTACAGCCTCTAGGAAGCGAACTTTTTCTTGTGTCCTCTTAATGTTCATTTTTTGTATAAAATCAGATATGTAACTGTATAACCTTGCATAATAAAGTGTACATCATAATAAAAAAAAAAAAAGGGGGTGGTAGGAGAAGTGAACACTCTTTCGTATTCAGAGTTAAATGTCAAGTTTTTCCCTGAGTGCTCTGTGTTCCCTTCTCTGAGGCTGTGGGTCCCTATAATTACACCAGTGGTGGTACCCCCCCTATATATATATATATATATATATATATATATATATATATATATATATATATATATATATATATATATATATATATATATATATATATGTCGTACCTAGTAGCCAGAACTCACTTCTCAGCCTACTATTCAAGGCCCGATTTGCCTAATAAGCCAAGTTTTCCTGAATTAATATATTTACTATAATTTTTTTCTTATGAAATGATAAAGCAACCCTTTTCTCTATGTATGAGGTCAATTTTTTTTTATTGGAGTTAAAATTAACGAAGATATATGACCGAACCTAACCAACCCTACCTAACCTAACCTAACCTATATTTATAGGTAAGGTTAGGTTAGGTAGCCAAAAAAAGCTAGGTTAGGTTAGGTTAGGTAGGTTAGGTAGACGAAAAAACATTAATTCATGAAAACTTGGCTTATTAGGCAAATCGGGCCTTGAATAGTAGGCTGAGAAGTGCGTTCTGGCTATTAGGTACGACATATATATATATATATATATATTTATATATATTATACTAAATTAATATAGTTTTGTGATTAACAGTTCTATAAAATCTCCCAAAAATGTGACTGGAAGCTAAGTACAATAAAGAAATTAGGTTTAGCGAGGAGCCGGCTCATTTGGCTGATTACTCCTGAGACGAGACTACTGTCCAGACATTTTATGGAGTGTTGTGAATAGGAGTATTTGTCTAAATTACCATACTCTCTGGACTTTTCACTGACTATTCACAAATATTCACATATTTGTATATATGTGTGCAAATTGCTGTGAAAGTAGAGAAGCAGCAACTTTGGCTACGTTAGACAGGTGAAAGTAGTTCGCCTGATAATGGTTTTTCACCTATGCCATCACTTTGTCGCAGTTTATCATAAGTAATGTGTTAATATTTCCACCTTCTCTTATTGCAGAGCTACACGCTTCCTCCTGCATCTGAGTGCCGCTAGACCATCCAGTTCTGATGGTGTTCTTAATCAACTCATAATCTGATACTAGGATCAATTGCTTGTTCTGAGGTCACACCTGGTGCTAGGATCAGTAGTTAGTGCTGGGATGACAATTCAAGCTGGTATTATTAGTTTGTCCTCAATTATTATAGCATTATTATAGATGCTGTGTTCACAGCTGAAATTTCTGGTAGATGACAAAGTTTCAAAATTCTGTATAACTCAAGTTCTCAACATTACCACTTAAACAGTCATGGGAAAGATAAAACCTTCACGCAAAATCCAATGTCATTAAGGAGAGCTTATCAGTCAATGGTTACATCTGACTTCATTAAAGTATTATACCCATTACATTTTTATTAATTGTATGATATGTATTTGTTTATTTCAGTTGTCTTTTATTATTTGCTAGAGTATATATATATTTGGTGTTTGTAAAACAAAATTCAATAAAAATATCATTCGTAAAGTTTTTTAATTATACATTACTTCAATAACCTTAAAGTCAGGCTGCATAATGACAGAGCCAGGATCACACAGTTTGTTAAATAGTTCAATATTTTCCCCTTACATTTTCACCAGGTACAACAAAAGTCTTCCATTTACTCAACATGAACTACCCTCTGTAGTCTCTGTGTACTTTATATTGCAGCTAAACTATTAACTAAAATCTGGTAAATTGCTATTGTAACAAACTGCTGTATTTTTTGCATATTAGTCATAATATTCATCATTTGGTGTTGCAAATAAGAATTAAATTATATTCTATAATACACACAGAAATCACAATTGCGTGATGCATCAAATGAACAAATCCACAAGAGCCGTGACGAAGATTAGAACCTGCGTCTGAGAGCATATGGGCGAGAGCTAAGTCGATTAAGGCAGCGTCTGGGATGCTCTCGGACGCAGGTTCGAATCCTCGTCACGGCTCTTGTGGATTTGTTAATATTCTATATGTTTTGATAGAGAGTATTCTTTCACTTCCATTCTGCATAATGGGATTCAAGCAAATATTAAACATTCTGTAATTTGTCTTTTGAAACTTTGCTAAATTGGCAGAATGATGATTGCTCTTTGGCACCAACCAAGTAGTCCAGAGTTTCTTTCTTATTCAGGAGGTAATATGAGCTTCTGGTTTTGATTAAGTATAAAAGCGCGAAACGATTATCCTTTTGTTGGAAAATGTAAGTGATTGACAAATAATCTATGAAATGAAGAGCACTTTATGTTGAATAGCAGAGGAATGTGGATAATATGGTATATAAACCTTTCGTTTAACAAAATTGATCCCTATTTAAAGATTTATTGATCTCATTGAACTGATTATGAGGTGTTTTAGAGAGCGTCTGTGAGTACATTAAGTACAGAGGAAAGGTGCCTTTACGTACTTAGCTAGAAACATGCGTTTTTCTATGCCATATTTGTCGCTCTGAAAACATATGGAGTTAACTTTGTACTGGCAAATTATTTGTGTAAATGAACTTTTGGCTCTTTAAAACTCGCCTCTGAATTGGCTTAAGAACTGTATATCTTCAGTTTTCATTATTTTAATTACAACAATAAACTAAGGCTTTGACAGCTGTTACAGGTATTAAAACGCATGAAGGATGTTTGGATTTTGGACTATTTTCAAGGATAATCTTCCTTTCCCCCTCAGGAACAGAGTGAATGAACAAATCAGGAACATAAATGAGTAAATCAGGAACAAATACGCTTTAGTTGGGGGGATTGGGGTAAAGCATTCAGGCCTGCCTGAATCAGTCGGCCCGTTTGGCTCGTCATTCATTGTTTGTTTGGCTAGCGCACCTGGTCAGACAGTGGGTGTTTGGCTAGCGCACCTGGTCAGACAGTGGGTGTTTGGCTAGCGCACCTGGTCAGACAGTGGGTGTTTGGCTAGCGCACCTGGTCAGACAGTGGGTGTTTGGCTAGCGCACCTGGTCAGACAGTGGGTGTTTGGCTAGCGCACCTGGTCAGACAGTTGGTGTTTGGCTAGCGCACCTGGTCAGACATTGGGTGTTTTTTGCATTGCGGTAATGGATTTCCGCAATGCAATGGATGGTTATCTTTAATGGATTTCAGCTGCTATTCAAATCTTTCAGTGTTTATCTGCATAATCTCTCTTTGTTACTGAATAGATTGCCCATGTTCATGTACCTTCCCTTGATGGGCTCCATGTAGCAGGGGATCCAATTTATGTTTTTTTTATTTAACCTTCTCTATACTGCCTTTCTCCTCAGACTAGTAGGGCGGACGAACAGGCCTCAGAGTCGAAAGTTCATAGATGATCGGACTCTGCATTTCTGGCTGTATTGGTACCTTCCATACCTGGCCACGTTTTTGGCAGGAACGTATCTTAAGTCCCCAGTGGTGACTAGCTCACACTGTGGCTCCACCTCTGGTTAATACAACTGTGCCTCATACCCCCACTCCCTTCTTACTGAAAGAGCAAGAAGCCATTAACAAAACCGAAGTTACTCCTAATTTTCATGATCTGTTTCGCCAACCTATGCGTTCAAAATATTTTTATGTCATAACCAATGGTAATTGACAAATACATAAACACTTTGTACAATCGTTAAATTCATATATTACCATTAATCCCACCCAGACTGGCTGTTACAGTATCGACACCATCACTGAAATGTGGAGTAGAGATTTCTGCGCCATCTATGGACCTGCACTCCACCTCCCCGGTATTCGGTGCAACGCAGACAACGCCATCTGTTGGTGGTGGTGTGGCTCCGGTTTCCTGCCTCAGAAGATGAGGTCGATGAGGATGACCTCTGGTGGGTGGCGTATCGAGATCTATGCCATCTAGGTTGCGGCTACAATTACAATTTCAGTTCCCCGGTGGATGGGTGTTATCCTAAGGTCACCTAGTCTGTTTAGCTAATGACGTTTTATGTTCACAGAGGTGACATAAGGAGGCGATTGCGCTAAGGAGAGCAGTTCACCTTGGGCAGTCCTGAACTCCTGACTTGGTTTTGTGAGAGGACAAAGTGGCTGCCATCGGCTATAGCAGTGTGTTTGCTGCTGATTTGTGTAGTGTTGTATGGACCGACGTACCCAAGATTGGTCAGGAAGACTTATGAGACGACAGGGTGCGTCTGGTGAGAAGTGCTACTAGTGAGCGACTAGAGACTTCTGTCAGGGTGCTAGCTACCCCTGCACGTGATTACTTGAGACCCCTATCAGCGTGTTGCTGAAACCCTTGGCCAGTGTGTATCTGGAGAGTGGAGGTGGGGTATTGGAACATCGTGACGATACCATGTGCGTGGACTGGCCCTTCTTGAAGGTGAACTCGCCAGTGTTTGCCATTAAGTGTGGGACGACGTGTAACTGGAGAGTGTTTGTTCACCAGGAAAATTAGCACTAATCTATCCCAATCTTAATTATGGTATCTGTGCATGGGAGTCTACTACTGCAAAACACCTTAAAAGCCCATCATCACCCAGCAAAAATCTGCTATCAGAATAATAACAAACTCTGCTTTCAGACAACACTCAGCTCCCTTGTTTAAATCCCTTAACTTGCTAAATATTAACTCCCTCCACACATTCTCTTGTGTCAGCTACATTTACAAAACCCTGTTCTTAAATGCAAACCTTGCTCTGAAACTCTCCCTGGACAGATGTAACAGGACCCATTATCACCACACCAGAAATAAATATCTCTTTGATATCCCCAGGGTCAAACTTAATCTGTGTAAATATTCTATACAAATTAAGGGACCTAGTCTATGGAACTCACTCCCTAGTGAATTGAAAAGCTGTCAAACTTTTGCCTCATTTAAAACCTAATGTTAAGTACCTAATTTAAGTACCTAATTTCATCTTCGTAGTTTCCTACACTGAGCTTTAAATTTGCTCTGTATCTAGTGTTACCCAATCTCCCAATCTTTATGTACTTAATCCAAACAACTTTACCATTGTGTTCATTGATGTCTTCTTTTATGTGCTAGCCATATGCTGTATTGTGCCTGCTTAGTTTTGTTAAACTACCATTCAAGCCGTCATTGCAATCATTCTGAGCTACCTATGTGCTTTAATAGTTTCAGTTAGTTAGTTTAGTTCATTTATTATGCACCCCATATCCATCCCGTGGGCGGTAGTGGAAATGGGGTTAAAAAGTGGAAAGGGTTACAGAGGCACATAATGGGCTCAGGGACTGAACCCCACAATTCATTTAGCTAAGCAAGTTACAATCTTGATGAGCTAGTTACAAAATTCAATATAAGTCATCACATCAACAGTGGGTTCGAGATCGACCTCAAGTACAGGTTCTAAATTAAGCAACTGACATATGTGGAGAGCTAGTGTCAAAATTTATATGTTTGTCCTGCACATCGCCCCCCATCCAGTGGGCAGCTTTAATATACCTAAACATTTTCTCTCATCTATTATTTTTTTTCATGCTATGTAACTGTTATCATTTTTATAAATTTTGCAAGTATTTACCTACTTATAAGTTTCTAGGATTAAGGACCTGCCCGAAACGCTGCGCATACTAGCTAGGCTAGCTAGTACTCACCTAATTGTGCTTGCGGGGGTTGAGCTTTGGCTCTTTGGTCCCGCCTCTAAACTGTCAATCAACTGGTGTACAGATTCCTGAGCCTACTGGGCTCTATCATATCTACATTTGAAACTGTGTATGGAGTCAGCCTCCACCACATCACTTCCTAGTGCATTCCATTTATTAACTACTCTAACGCTGAAAAAATTCTTTCTAAAAAAATTCTTTGTGGCTCATCTGGGTACTAAGTTTCCACCTGTGTCCCCTTGTTCGTGTCCCACCCGTGCTGAAGAGTTTGTTTTTGTCCACCCTGTCAATTCCCCTGAGAATTTTGTAGGTGGTTATCATGTCTCCTCTTACTCTTCTGTTTTCCAGGGATGTGAGGTTCAGCTCCTTTAGCCTTCCCTCGTAGCTCAATCCTCTCAGTTTCCGGACGAGCCTGGTGGCATACCGCTAAATCTTCTCTAACTTTGTCTTGTTTTTAACTAGGTATGGACTCCAGGCTGGAGCTGCATATTCCAGGATTGGTCTTACATAAGTGGTATACAGGGTTCTGAAAGATTCCTTACACAAGTTTCTAAAGGCAATTCTTATGTTGGCCAGTCTAGCATATGCCGCTGATGATATTCTTTTGATGTGGGCCTCTGGGGACAGGTTCGGTGTGATATCAACCCCCAGGTCTTTCTCTCTATTTGACTCTTGCAGGATTTCACCTCCCAGATGATACCTTGTGTTCAGCCTCCTGCTCCCTTCGCCTAATTTCATCACTTTACACTTTCCCGAGTTGAACTTTAGCAGCCATTTTCTAGACCATTCCTCCAGTATATCGAGGTCATCCTGTTGTCTCTGTCTATCTTCATCCGTCTTGATTCTTCTCATAATTTTTGCATCATCAGCAAACATTGAGAGGAATGAGTCTATACCCTCCGGAAGATTGTTCACATATATTAGAAA